TATAGCTAGATTATAGAAGAACAAATTATTTAACCAGAGCAAACGGTTGAAAAAAATTTTCGAAAAGGAGGAGGGGGATGGGGGAATGCATGCGAAAATGTGCCTAAAATTGCCCACAAATTTTGTTGAATCTAGATATTTCTAAACCTCACTTCTTATTCGTTAATAAAAAAAGGTTAGACAATTAATTATGGATGCGGCTCTAGTGCGCAAAATATGCTGTTATGGATAGAAAATTTATAGATGCATCTGACTGGGGTAGTTAAATTAATCGGAAACAGCAGAACTTTTTATTTCTCAGAATTTATGGCACAACCGGCATAAGTTCACAGCATTTTCTAAAATAACTCAGACCTGTTAAGGTTACCTCATCATAGAGTACGTGGATGATTTGAAAGGTATGCTCGTTCATAAAAATCCATAATCATAACAGGTAAGCCGATCGAAGCTGGAGATTTTGTAATGAACAAACAGATTGAAGAGATTTATAATAACCCTCCCTACGAACAGTCATGAAAACATTTAAAAAAAAAGCTTCAAGCGAAATTTTTCCCAACTTTACAATAATGTTCCTGCGGGAAAATGGTTTGCTCTATGAACTCTAGCGTGACGGACACGAAGGTGCTGCTTATCAAGCTGATTTTTTTTACTATCTACGCAACTGCAATTTCAGGCAGAGCAAAACCCTTTACATCACCGACATCTTCTCAGTTCCTAATAAATATTGTGTTCATTTCAAGACCCATACACTGTTAAGAAAATCATCTTCGTTTTATCCAACAACTTCAACGTATCTTAAACTGCAATGATTATTCTGACCTTTGTTTCCCCAAAATTCATACATGCGTACCTTAGCTCAACAATGAATTTGTTCACGCCTGCGGCCGGGTTATTTGGCACACATGTTACTTGGAAGGATATTGAAGAAGATATGCAAAGAGAACTAAGAACAACCGCCTCCTTTGGACTCAATAAGTCAGCAAAGAACATCGGAGACAACAAGGTGAATTGTAATATATTTATTAACAATTTCTCTGTCTCCCTGTTGATTACCCGAAGAAATTTGTATGACTCAGGGTTTCTTGTCAAGGATTATCCTCATCGACCCCGACTGGCAGCAAATAGACAAGAATTTGCCCGAAAAATTTGTTGTGAAAGTACGTCATTTTCTCCCACTTGAATATAGGCCTAAGATGCGTTTCTTAGATTGTCACTCAATTGGCTATGCAGCAGTTCACGTCTGAGCTTTCGAAAGAGAAGAACATTGAAAATAAGTTCGATACACCAGAATTCAAATCAACCTTCGAGATACAGCAAAAAAGGGTAAAGGATTTTGTTACAAAATGTTCGATATGACGTCGGAACACTTTCCCTGCTGGCTTGTAAATCCAATCGGATAGAAAGCTAGAACTTTGTAATCACTACAATGAGTTATATATTTTAAAAAAGTTTTTTTTTTTTAAATTTAGAAGCAACAAAAGAGAGAATAAGAATTCTTTATAACCTGAAACTTTAATCATTTTTTCCTCAACACCAAAAGCAACATTTTCAGCTCCACAATACCGAAGTCACTATGTACAAACACATTTTGAAGGTTCCTAATAACAAAATCCCTGCTGCAAAGGTACGTTGCGCTACAGTCTCTGTCTAACTCCTATAAATTACTATTATAAGTTATGGAAGGACTGATACGACTATAAGATAGAACTGGAAGAGAAGAGATATCATTATGTTAGGTAACAAGATTGAGGCCGTTTGATAAAGAAGAGGATATTCTCAGTTTCCTAGAACAAGTAAAGCAACGGGATGACTAAAATAAGGTCGGGAACCAACTTGAGGCCAAATAACGTTAGGATAGGTTAACTCTAAGTGCCTGATGTAGTGCTAAGAGGCCGTGCTACCAATCAACGGATCATGGAGTAATCATTTCTTCAGGGCCAGCCAAGCCCTTAACCTCCCTGAAGCCGGAACATAGTACACAAGCTCCGGGGAGAAAACCACTGAATTGAACATCGGCGGCGTTCTGCAAGTTATTGTATGGGCCCAATACGCATTCAGATGCCTCTGCGATAAAGCGATTGTGTGATGTACCAATAATTCTGGATAAATTGACTTAAGACCTATCCTTACCCTAACTCTCAAAAGAGACATATCTAAGGGGCTTGACATGTCCTCTTATTTCTTCCCCAGTTGGGACACTCCCTTTACGTACAATTTTTCCTC